ATTAGTTAAAAATTTTTATTTATAGTTTAAATTATAAAATATAAATTATTAAATTAAAAAAAATTTAATTCAACAAATAAAAATTATAAAATTAAATATAATTCAGATTGTATAATATATTTTTTTATATTGTTTTATATGAAACCCGAAAAGTATGTATTGCTAGTAGACTTCTACTAAATTAATAAAAATGCAAATTATTGCTTTCCTTTTTTTTTTTTTATTGCCATTTGACACCATGGCCCATCAATTTTCAGTTTTCTCCTCTTTCTTTCCTTTATTTTATTTTATTTTATTTTATTTTTTTACAAGTTGACACAAATTACTGACTAGGGCCTGCACCACTGTCCAACTAGTTCTTAATTAAAAAGAACAGACATACCAACGAGGAGTTGGATCAAGTGGCAAGCGGCTTGTTCCAGCTTAAGTAAGGTCTTGAGTTCGAGACCTTGTGTACGCAGCAATCTTTGTTGGGAGACCCACCCACCATTCTGGTGCACCACAGCTGGTCGAGTCCGGAGTAGTCGAACGAAGCCCCGAATACCGGATGAGAAACCAAAAAAAAAAAGAACAGACATGATTCGAGTGCGTATGGTCCATATAGGAAAATGAAAACACGTTTGGAATCTCTAATAATTGATCCACAATATTATTTTTCCCCTTTATATCTTTTCTAAAAAAACAAAACCAAAAACGAACAAACAATATTTTCAGTTTCAGCCTACTGAAATATTTCAATTGGGGCAGCCTTGGAGGGAGTGATAAGCTTATTTAATCATAGCGTGGGGTGGGGTTGAGTCATCCCACCATATCTTGGTTCTTGAATATTCGATCTGCATGTGCCCAGCGCTGCTGCTGTTGATCGAGTAAAATGCCTCTAGCTGCTTTTGAATAAAAAAATTTTTATATACTATAATTGCTATTACAATAATTTGTTAAAATCCATTGTTAAGCCCTCAAACTTACAAAAAAACATATACTAAAGCCTCAAACTCCACAAATGGTGCAAACCAATGTTTTTGATAATTAATGCATCTGATTCTCCCTTTAATGCATTTCAAAGGAAGAAAATGGTGAATCACAATTTAGTCATTTTGAATTTTTGGCTGAATTACACTTTAATCAAATTAGTCAAGTTTAAAACAAATGCAATTAATTCTTAAACTTAAACAAAATATAAAAATGAACTTTTGTGTTTTGCAATTGAGGACAAGACCTGTGTAAGGATTCTAAACCTCATATCTCCACATTTACCATTCAGCCAAACAGACTTAAGCAAATGTTTATCGTATTTTAGCTAGCCAACTACATTACTTGGAATAAATCATTTGAAAATCTTTAAGGAATTAATTATAAAGTCTACTATTTTCTCCTTGCAAAAAAAGACTAATTCTTAGGAATATGCTAAAATTCCTACCTCTAACTCTAAAATTACTTGTTCAGCTTTTATACATCTTTATCAAATGTCCACAAACTCAATTAATCATCATGGTAAAGAGTAATAATCCCAGTAGTTAAATTTTACTAATAAATAAATATTATATATTTTATAGATTAATTTTAAAAATCAAGTTTTAAAATTAATACTAAAAAAAACTAATTTTTTTTAAATGCATTAAACTAATTTACTATTATACCACTAGCAAACTCCTATTCGATCAATATAATAGGTTGAAATTAGGAAATGAAGTAAGGTGAAATATGAATTTGACAGAAAAATTGGGCCAATCAAGGTATATATATATATATATATATATATATCCAGGCGCTTGTTGTTTTGCAGGCTTCCATATGTCTTTGCTTTCATGTGTGGTTATGAAGCAACCCGTTACTGATTGGTCGTTACTGATTTTTTTTTTTGGGGAAACAGCTATATATTCTTTGAAGGAGGGAGGTTCCAACCCTGGCAGTGACTTGGAAGATCGAGTATCACTGTATCCTCTGGCTTGTTAAGCTGACAGACATATGGAGTCGAATTGGTGTTATGGTAATAAAAAAGAATGGAGAAAATCAATTTTTTTTTCAGAAACAAGGACAATTACATTTTATTACCATTACATTTTTCAAATGCGGGGTAGGGGAATTAAAAAAGAGTTGGGGTCAAACACTATACATTCCCAGTAGGGTTTTCACTTTTGGTAGGGGTTGGTCAAAAAATTAATAATTAAAAAAATTTTTAAATTGAAAAAATTATAAACGATAGGTATGGTATGATTAGGTTTTATTTTTGTTTAATTAAAAATTAAATTACACTAATTTTAAACAATTTAATTTTTAATTATTAAATATAAAAGTTAAAAAATTAATGACTAAAATGAATATAATCGAAAATTTTAACTCAAAAACGTTTTATATAATTTTTTTAATGGTTTTTAAATTTCTTCAAGATTTTCTAATAAAATTTCACTAAATTATTTATTTATTCAGATATTTTTTAGTTTTTTAGTAATTGAAGTTAATAAAATATAATTAAA